AAGCACATTTAAAACTGGAATATAATTTAATTTCATTCACATGTGTTTCATATAATCCTTTCTGGATTACAATCCGCCATCAAAATGATTTTTTGACATTTAATTATTCCAGCTGCTGTGAGAAAAGGCTATAAGCGATCGGCCACCTGCAGGATCCTCACATGCGACAACCTAGTAGCTGGGACAACTTCTTTATGTTTACAGAAGTGACGTAATGACGCAGCAGCATGCTTGAACATTATTATAAGCTAACCGTTGTGAATCGGGCTAAAGTAAGGCGATAGTTTTGAACACTGGCTGGTTATGTACTTGCTCAAATATTGAATTTGGATCATTTTTAACCAAAAAAAAGTTATGGACTGCAGCTTTAAGTAATGTAAAAAAAATAATAAAAATAAAAAACAATATTTAAATAAATTAATTAATTAATTAAAAGATTGGGTGGCTATTCATACATACAGGCAATTGAATACACCTCTTCTGTGATTAAAGTTTTAATTTAATTTCTGAATTTATTCTCAGAGTTCCGTGATGTAAACTCAAAATTTCAAGTTACAAAGTCAGAATTGCGTGATATAAAGTCACATTCTGAGAAATACAGTCGCAATTCTACGTTACATGCAATTGTGAGTTAAAAAGTGAGAATTGTGAGCTATAAACTCACGATTGTAAGAAAATAGTATTTTTTTCCTCATAATTTGACTTTAGGGGCCCTATCAAATACCCGGTACAATGCGGCGCCAGGCACGACGCAAGTGTTTTTTGCTAGTTTCAGCCCAACGCAGTTGTCATTTCACGTCCTGCGCCATGTTGTTTAAATAGCAAATGCATTTGTGCCCATTTGTGCGCCCATGGGCATGCTGGTCGGAAAACGAAGTGTGTTCAGGCACATTGTAGTGCGATTTTGAGTTTTCTTGTGGCAACTGAAATAGACTGCGCCATTGACCAAAAAAAACCTGGTCTAAAGTCTGGCGCAATATTATTATTATTTTTTGTTATTTAAAGATTGCGTTAGTAATATGCGCCTATAGGCGGGTGCACAACGCACGTACACTTTGCTTATTACACATACAGCAGCACACAAACATTTAAAAAAATTAAAATGATTAAAATGTAAAAGATTATTATTGTGTACATAAATATAAAAATGCCTACATGTCATAATGGATAGTCTTTGCATGTAACAGAATTACGCGCACGAGCAGATCCGTTCCCTCACTAGAGAAGCGTTTAATTTTTCCGCTTGTAAATTCCGCCATGTAAATAGCGAATCCGCCATGGCACGAGCGCAGCTGGCTTTTAAAGGGAATGGGAGATGAGACTCTGATTGGTTTATGGCACGTTACGCCCAAAACACACCCGTTGTTCAATATGGTATTATCAAGATTGCTTTTTTTCAGAAGGGGTTTAACAACTGCAGTTTTCAGGGAGTTTGGAAACGTCCCAGAAAGAAGTGAGGCGTTCACCACTTCTAAGAGATCTGCTTCCAAACAGTTAAGCACCCTTTTGAAAAAATATGTGGGAAGTGTGTCAAGATAGCAGGTTGACGATTTAAGGTGCTGTACTATTTCTTCCAAAATTGTGCTATATCAATTTCTTCAAAAGCAGACGTAGTATCTTCTTTTAGACCATGCGCTGGGCGCGCCGACCATTTTTCCCGTACTTAAACTAGCAAAAGTGGATTCGGACACGCCCTAAGCACAATTGCGCCGTGCGCTTTAGACCATGCGCTTAGATCGTTAAAATAGCGGCCAAGAACTCGCAATAGTGAATTTATGTGTCAAAATTCAGAGGAAAAAGTCAGAATTGTGATATAAAAAGTCACTTTTTTTTCCGTGTTGGAAACAGGCTTCCATAGCTTTACAGATGTATACTAGTGTAAAAATAACCCAGACATTTCTTGGTGACATTCACATCATAGTTTTAGTCAAATGACAAGGTTATTTGGTTCTACATCATAGAGAGGTCTATAAGAAGTCTCTGATAATATCAGAAAATTCAATTGACCTTTTCTGACATGACAATGGTTATTTTAGCTTAGAAAAGCCTCTAAAAAGTAAAGGAAATTTACTTTGCAGACATGTTAACTAAAGCTCAGATGTCCACTGGAGCCTTAGGAAAGAAAAATGCTGTATCTTTTTATTTGATTTCCCGTTGGCTTGTATTTGTGAGTGTTTGTGCATGCATATACAACTGTATGTGTGCATTCCTTCCTTGGACGGCACCACTGTGTTGCCGGGCAGAAGGCAGGAAGCAGAGGACACTGGAAGAGAAACATTTTGGGGAATTCTGTGTTCTTAGAGCGCATGTTGACGAATGTGGATGTCAACAGAAGCTGCTTATTTTTAGCGCTGGTCACTAATTAAATATCAATTCTTGGATTTCCGAGTGCTAAAATAACTGCGTCCGTAGATAACAAATTGATAGGCTACTTGTTGGGAAGTAGGGTTGTCACTTTACCCAAATATTAGCAGTCGATCCCAATACTCAAGTAAAATTAAATGATTATTGATACCAAAGCAAAAACTAATATGCTATTGATAAATTAAATTAACGGTCATAAATTAACTGGTATGAATTTTGTTAGTAGAGATTGTTGCATGTTTAACTATTTTACAGTTTTGTTCATGCATTGTAAAATGTCTTGTAACCTGCTTAAGCCAAAGCAAGTCATTGCCAAACAGAATCATATTTCTTTCCATGAAGAACTGGGTCAATATGTTTCACAATAAGTAAATGCATGTCCTGAGAAAAGAATAATGTATTTGTTACTGGCAAACTTGCCCTTGAGTTGATTATCAATTGTATCACTTGTGTCATTTGTATTGGAGAGAGTTTACACACAGTTTGCCCAAAATGTGCTTTTGATTTTGACACTTTGACAGTCAAATACAGAATGTTTGGTTCATATCGCTGTGAGTGATACTTTTACTCAAAAGAGCTGCTATGCCAATTTCCTTAACAGAGCTCTAGGAATTTTACATTATTATTATTATTATTATTAGGAGTAGTAGTAGTATTTTTGTAGTACAAGTTAGTAGTACATTTTCAAAACTTTTAGTACAAGTCAGATAACGTTTTTTTCAAGCATTTCAGCATATTTTCAATTGTTAGTACAATACACAAAATTACAAAGTATCCTTTCCACTACACATAATGCGTGTTTCATCTATATACATTTTTGGTCACACTTTAGTTTTGGGACCAGTTCTGACTATTAACTAACTATTAACTACAATGTTTGCCTCAATAAACTCCTAATTTGCTCCTTATTAATAGTTAGTAAGGTAAGTTTAGGTATGGGGTAGGACTAAGGGATCTAAGTATGGTCAGAATAAGACATTAATATGTGCTTTATAAGTACTAATAACAGACAATATGCTAGTAATATGCATACTAATAAGCAACCAGTTAAAAGTGAGAATTGGTCCCTAAACTAAAGTGGAAAAAATTATTTTTAATCACAGTGATTTCATAATGTTATTACTTTCAAACTATTAAATTGCATCTCTTCCCATTCAGTTTATCTATCATTTAATTCAGCTGATCTTAATGATTAAACAATCATATGATTTGTATAGATATAGAGTCTATAGAACTGGTTTGCGGTTTTCAAATATAATGAATTCCTATTAAAGTACAGTATATGCAATTTACCTCAAACTAAAAAGTGCTACTGAGGTTGACATCCAGCTCGGCTCATTTTTGTGCAAGTTTTTTCAAATTTGTTTGTTATTCTGAAGAACATTTTTTCCAAAGTTATGGCAATCTGAAACCAAGGGGTCTGCCTTCGATTTATAATCTGATCTGACCAGCCAAATTCTCATTCCATGACAAACAGTGTTTATTTTTAGGGACTTCTGGGCTCATTCTGTCTCTGCTTAGCTTTCTCTTTTGGACGATTTTCCCCCTCGCAGTCTCTTTTTCTCGTTCCCTCACTGAAGTCTTACTCACTTTGTCAGTCGCATGTCTTGAAAGACCCAGACACCACAAAGTTTCCAAAGTGCAGTACATGTTCTCTCGCTTCCTGGCTTAAAACATTGTGGTTTTGTCACCTTGTGCTATTCTCGTCAGAGAAATTTTAACACATCTCGTCACATCTTTTACAGATTTGTCCACTGCGAAGAGAAAGTTTGCAGAGTCACTGAACGAGTTTAAATTCCAGTGCATTGGCGATGCAGAAACAGATGATGAGATATGCATTGGTAAGATCATAACATTGTTTCTTTTGAATGTTTGTTGTTCCTTAGTCAGTGTATTATGCAAGAAACAAAAAGTATCCTCAAGATTATACTACAGTTTTAAACCCCAAAGCGTTATTCATTGTATGCTGTCATACAAATGACATTCGTAGAAAGCATTTGAACTCAACTTTAAAGTAGTTTCTTCATTGTTTCTGTGAAGGGCATCGGTTGAGTACAAATTGATCCATGGCCATCTGATCCCACTCAAGGTCTTACACAATGTATTCATTACAAGCTTTTAACTCAAAAAGACAGGTTTTACTGAGTGCCGTCCACAACGACCGTTTCATTGAGCCCCTACTATGCCACAATTACACCAAGGTTTCAGCTCAACTTATGTGTATTTGCCATAATTCCTCTTGATGGTGTGGCATCAAAGGCGTAAGTGTTGGAACCTGTGGGAATTTTTGTGGCTTTCTGTAAGTCCTGGCACCTTACATGGAAACTTGCTGAAATTCTGCTTGGCTGAATCTGAAGAAGGAACATGTACTGACTTGCCTTTATTCTGATCTCATCTTCAGTTGCAGCCTTGCAGTCCTTTAGTCTTAGGCCCTGTCCACACGAACGCGGTTATTTTTTTAAAACCGCAGCTTTTTCTACGCGGTTAGGTCGTTCGTCCACACGCAAATGCAGCACCAGGTCACTGAAACCGAACATTTTTGAAAACACCTGCCAGGGTGAAGATTTTCAAAAACTTGAAAACTTGGTTGCAGTGTTATCGTGTAGACAGCGAAACCGGAGATTTTGGCTTGTGACGTCGGCGCCTGCGCTGTTATCTCCGCCTACAGGAGACTTTTTCAGGCTTCTGATTGGCCAACATGGCTTTCCGGTTGAGATTATATCGCCACCTGTTGGTTTGGCATGCTCTTGACAGTGCTTCATAGCATGCGTTTGCGTTTTCATGTGGACGGAGATGTTTTTAAAAATGGAAGAAGGAAAAACTCTGTTTATAAAAATACCCGTGTACGTGTGGACATGGCCTTACTTACTTTCTGTTGACCTTATGAGGTTGAACATGAAAACTGTATTACATCTGGAAGTTTTCGTAGTAATGCATCCACTGTATGTCTGAGGTTGGGTATCTTGAGAGGTTTGATGAGTTTGCTGCTTTAGTTATGATAGAAATACTAGTGCTAAGCAGTGGAATCGCCATTACGTTTGCACATGTTTAGAGTATTTGCCTTTTCAAAACTGTCAGTTGTATATAATGGCCTTAATATAATTGGACTTTGCATAGCAGCACCCTAATACAACGCTAAAGAAGTAGTCATCTTCAAACCTTAAATATACATTTAAAGTACTGCACTTGCAGATAATACAATATTAATGAAATAAGACTACTTCAAATTAGTACAATGTCATGCCTTTCTTAACACAGACTTTTAAAAAGACACATTGTAATTGTCAAAATAAAAATTTAACTTTAAAGTACATTTTAAATCATTGTTTTAATAATCATGTCATGTTTTAAAGTACACTTGTTTTAATGTGTTGACTTACATAATATAGCACATGTAAATTACCTAATTAGATTTTTAACTGTAGTGTGTTATCTGATATTACATTTAGAGTTGTAATATCAAATACAGCTTTAATATACAAATGTGTAATTGCAATTTAGATACATGACATTAAAGTATAGTTTAGTTTACCATAAATGCTTGTCGGTACATTCAACAGTACACTTTAATTATATTTCAAACAGAATTGTACAATTGCATATAAAGATATACTTTAGTCGTACTTAAATGGGTCAAAAGGCAGTCTTAAGTTCAACTAATTGCATTTAATATATATTTAAACTATAATACATATTCATTAGATAACATGTAATTAAGTGTCTGAAAACATTACACTCAGTCCACATATTAGTATATTATTTTAAAGTATATTATTTTTGTAGTAAGTGCTCTTTTTAAAAGTATGCTAAAGTAAAAAAAAAAAAAGTATGTTGCACAAGACCCAACACTTTGACATTTTTTTTCCCAACACATCACAGTTTTTTTTTTTTTTTCCTCGCCTAGATTTACATTTTTTTTATTTGTAGGTGTTAAACACAGTCTTTGCAGTTGGTAGTTGAAGTTGGTATTTGGCCACTGTTTTTTTTTTGTGTTTTTTTTGTAAGAGTGCTAAACAAGCTAGCTCTGTGTTGTCACATTCTAATGGTTGTCACACAGACTTACGTATGTTAAACACAATTCTGATTGCACAATTTTGCTGAGTTGTGCTGTGGAAAGTGTTGCTCTTGGCTCGGGTTTGAATAACCATTTCTTACTTGAATTTTCAGGCTGTCCGTGGTGAATTATAAAATGACAAATGTCTGACTTCACTGCTTGAAGATGTAAATTAAGCTAATGTGGTCAAGATGCTGTGTGTGATCACCAGTCTTATTTCTTTTCTTTCAAAGCCAAATCACTTCAGGAGTTTGCTGGAGTCTTACAGAACCTGGAAGATGAGAGGACACGAATGGTCAGCAGGTTTTTTTCATCTTCACCATCATCAGTTTCATTATCATTATGTTTATAACTAATAGTTAAAAGGAATAGTTCACTAAAAATGAAAGTTGCTCCCATGTCTTTCATTTCCTGAGTTAGACAGTATGATGATATACAGTTCTGTCATGAGAGTTTAGCATAGTAATATACATGACAATGTTATTGTGTGTGGTCTTGGTGGAATAGATCTGCTACGCTGATGCTGATGCTGATGCTGCGGCAGGGCAAGTACCGTGACTTGCTGCTGCTGCACATATTACATATATGAATAACCCTTAATATACAGTAACATGCATTAAATTATTTCGTAGCAAATCTATACAGGTGGAGCTGGGGAAGGTGGAGGGTTTCTAAAGTGCACTGCAACTGCTATAGCAAGCACTAGCCGAGTATTTGAATGTTGAGCTGCAAGCTCATTGGCTGCTGATACGAAAATAACCAATCAGTTGCGGCTTGTGAATGATGTCATTATGTCAGATTAAGTTAGACCTATCAGACTGCGTCATCTAGAGTTTCATGACAGAACTTTGTATTTGTTGTCAAAAGTTTACATACACCTTGCAGAATCTGCAAAATGTTCATTATTTTACCAAAAATAAGAGGGATCATACAAAATGCATGTTATTTTTTATTTAGTATTGTTCTGAATAAGATATTTTACATAGAAGATGTTTATAGTTCTGTCATGACAACTCTCGGGGGGATTGGCATGGTAATGTACATGACAATGTTAATGTATTTGGTCTTGGGAGTAGGGCTAAAATATTTAACTCTTTTTTCTTTTTTCTTTTTACCAATTATCCAAATAATGTTTAGTCCTAGAAAGCTATTATTATCAGAACACGCGAGCATAACATAGCGGTTAGCAGATCAATTAATGAGAGGGCAGCGTTACTAGAGTTACCCATATACCACACCTTGTTACAACACAGTAACATTTTGTATTCATTCAGTCAATGAATCAAAACATTCAGTATTGCAGACAGAAAAAATACTGGACTACATCGATGTTTCCTGTCGGCTCAATTTTTGAGTGGACTTTGCTGTTCCGATTCGCACGAGTGGAGCAACTGAGCGGAGCGCACACGCATAGAGCGGGATAGCGGATAATACGCAGAGCGTCACACCCATAGGGTCACACCACGTGAAAGTGAAACCTGAGCGGTGAACAAGAAAATAAATAAAAATAAGAGGACTAAATAAACTAAATAAAACTAAGAGATAGAGAATCTGCTATAGCATTAATACCCCGGTGTTATTGACAAAATCTGACACGAAGCAGAAAACAAGCTTTGTAGCTCATATGTGTGATTTCACTTTGACACGTCTGATGTAGACACTGTGTAACGGTAGGTGGTTTATGGTTGCCAAGCAAAGTTGCAGTTTGCTAATGTGTGGTCACACCAAAATAGGTGTCTATATGCAGTGGCGGCTCGTAGGTTTTAAAATAGAGGAGGCACACTAATTGTATTGGTCTGGGATCCCTGCCGATTATTATTATTATTATTTGCTTAACCACCAATGAAAAATTCTTCTGAACATTCATTAATCTTAGGTATTCCAATATTTAATAACAGGTTGTTAAAATCGAAAGTTGCAACTGTGTTATTTAATGAGCTAACATGAACTAAGACTTAATAACTAATAATGAATAACTTCTGTAGCAAATGTAGCTATTGCTCATTGTGAATGTTAATGCATTAACTAAGGTTAACTAATGAGGTCTTATTGTAAAGGGATACCTATTGGTCTTTATAGTTCTTTTGCACTTTAATCTGTGTGAAACTTTTAGCTTTATACATTTTTCTGTATTGCTTTATTGCATTTAAATGTTCAGTTATTTTTGTTATAAGAAAAAAGTTATTAAACCTGTTATACTGTATAATGACAGCACTTTTTTAAAACAAAATTTCAATACCGCGATAATACTGTATACCGTGATAAAAGCATTAGCAATTAATCGCAACATGAAAATTTGATACCGGCATATCCCTACAACAGAGGCACGAGAGCTCATCTCTCCCCTGGCCTCCCCCTACCCTTCTCTATCACTTAGCGGTTGCAATTACATCAGCAGATTCGGCACATTTGCGATAGAAAAGTGCCACTTTCACGTTATGGTATTACAACTGTGAAATTACAAACAAAAAATACACATTCTGAGACATGAACTGAAATGAATTGTGAATTTTATTAACATTAAATCGTCCTCCTCCCATTTTCACCTCAAAATTATGGGGAAGCTGTGCCTCCCCTGACGAGCCGCCACTGTCTATAATATGTGCAACTGCTATAAACATGGCCAATCCAGTCATGCTTATATTTCATTACTGTTTCGAGTCTTTTGTTTGTAACTCAAGTGTTAAAAATGTGAAGCAGCTTTTATGAATAATCGTATCTTTTGGTTTGGTTTGGATTGCATCCATCCATCCATCCATCCATCCGTCTAAAAAAAGGTTAAATTTCTAAATTTCTACAATTACCAGAGCAATCTGTGTGGCCGTATGTGTGATGCACAGACAAAACTAAATAAATAAATACATACATAAATGAATAATCATACTGTCATTTCTACAGTATAAAGTCTTAATGCTTTAACATGAAAGCAGTACTAGGGCTGGGGGATGATTCAATATATATATAATTAGATATTTAACGTTAACTTTAATGGATATAAATATTAATCCGTTTCGTTTTTAGTGAGAGTAAGCAGTTCTCAAAACATATGTGGCAAAGATTGGTGACAAACAATGATGATAAATGGGGGGAAACGATGATGATAGATGGTAAAAAGAACTCTATGACCTGTGTCTCCTCAGATTGAAAATGCCAATGATGTGTTGATCTCGCCACTGGAGCGTTTCAGGAAGGAGCAGATCGGAGCTGCAAAGGTGAGAGCAGAAGTTCAAATCGCTTTATTGTGTAATGATATTCATAGCAGAGAGAGGCTTATTGTTTTCAGTTATCAAGAAGTACCTTGTTCGAAGGCGTATTTGTGACTTACGATTAATGTTACATAGTCAAAACCTGCAGATTAAATGTGGGCCAAGCCATCACAGATCAAAGTGCTTCTAAGAAACTGCTGTAACTTGTTTAAACAGCACTGCCATCTGTTGGTTATGATGTGTAAACACTTATTGTAATGTTGTTCATGATGAATACAAACAGATGCAATAAATCTGTTTAAATTGACATGTAGCAAATGCATGCCTCATTTTAAGTTTATTTTTTTATTTTTTTTTAACAATGGAACAATTTGCAGCTCACGCATGCCGCTTGATTCCCTAATGACTAATTCATCTCTCACACACCCAGTGGCTTTTGTCCATTATTGTGGATGTGCATCTGGTTATTAGACACTTACAGGTGTCTGGAGTTCAGAGGCCAAGGCCCTTAAGAAAATTAAAGCAGAAAAGCAAAGAATAAGCCATTGTAAAGTACACTTTGTAAAGTACACATCGCTTAAAAGTACTTATTACACAAATAGTGTACTTTAAAAGAATGTACGTAAGTGTGGATCTGAATGTAATGTTTTCGGACACTTAATTGCATGTTATTTGCAATTAAAGTAAAATGTGTTAGAGTTTAAATTTATATTAAATGCAATTTGTTGAACTTAAGATTTTAGCACACCTGTATAAGTAATTTTGTAATTACTTACAGTATATTGTTTTTGAAAAATGGTTAAAATATTGCTGTCGAATGTACTTGCAAGCATATATGGTGATGGTATGAGAGCTTCAGCATCCACTCTCAAACACACTACTTGATAAAGTTTAATTTTATGTGTGTGAAACTACCCACTGTAACTGCTTTAAAAATGTTAAGTACTGTATTTCCAGTTTAAAATGAATATGGATGTATACATACATACATGCAAATCTCTACATATAACATTTCAGCTTGTTTGTTTGTTCAGCTTTTGTCAGTCAGAGTTTGCATTTTTATCCCACAGGAGGCCAAAAAGAAATATGATAAAGACACAGAGAAGTACTGCACAGTGTTGGAGAAACACCTCAGTCTGTCTGCAAAGAAAAAGGAAGCACATCTTCACGAAGTATGTTCTGCTATTAATGCCGTTTTACTTGAGACTAAAATACCATTTTGCATGTGGTTGCACTTTAAGACTAGCAATCGTCTGGTTTGACTTCCTATGAAACAGTAAACTGCGGGCAGATATATTGAAAGGCTTGGCTTCATTTGTAAAAGCAAAAGCATTTGGTTTGCCATTGTAGACATGAACTAAAAGCTACAAACCCCCAGTTTGATTTGATGGATATTTGTCTTTTTTTTTTTAATCAAATCTACCCAGGCGGATAACCAGGTGGACATAGTAAGGCAGCACTTCTATGAGGTCTCGCTGGAATACGTCTTCAAAGTGCAGGAAGTTCAGGAGAGGAAGATGTTTGAGTTTGTGGAGCCGGTAAAACTTCATCACATTTTCATGTCATTCTTTTTATATTACATTACATTACATTATTCAGTCTTTACTGATGGCTCTTTTTTGTGTGTAGTTGCTGGCTTTTCTACAGGGTCTGTTTACATATTATCATCATGGGTACGAACTGGCCAAAGACTTCAACCATTTCAAGACAGACCTCACAATCAGCATTCAGAATGTGAGTGCATTTCTTACAACAGACCCTCATACAGTAGATGCTGATGTTACAAATTAGGAGAGCAGAATTAGTAGTCTGTATGTGTTTTTTGACTGTACTGTACTAAAGCATAAACACATAATACAGTTGCAGATATTTAGGAAACATGCTAAGTTCACATACCTGTTTCTCTGAATAACAATGCTACAATTCTGCTTTGAAATGTGTGTTCCGTGTCAGAATGTCTGTTTCTGGTCTGTGTGATTCCGCCCACTGCCAGTTTACCCAATAGTATTTTGACACACTGGGTTTCCAGATGGCGGAAAACACAGCATACTGCAGCCATAGAAGCAAGCAGACAAACTGGGTCAGAGATCACAGACTCTACCCGATCTAAAAAGCATCCACCCAAAAAGCTCTATGACCAGAAGCATATTAAAACACAGATATTCATCACCTTCCATTGTGAATTGCGCTTGTTCCTGTGCATGACAACCTGCGTGAGTGTCCAGTCTGAGGAGGAGGGCACTGCAGTACCTATTTCAACCACTAGCTGTCAATATTGCATACTGCACCTCTAAGAAAATTGCAAGTAAATCATCATGTCTTGTTTGGAGTGAAGTCCAATCTTTTAGTTACGGATGAGTGTACCAAACCCTTTCAAAGCCAAATCACTACAGGAGTTTGCTGGAGTTTGTTCAAACCCAGTACCTGACAGGTGCAGTTAGTTTGCCAAAATGCATTGCAAATAACAACTGCCATAAAACTAGCCACTTCACAATGAGCCTGGTCAATGATCTGTTATATGTAAGGAGTGCAGTAGTTTAATGTATTTTGCATTGCAGAGTTTTTTTTTTTTTTGTTACAGTGGCAGGTTTTCACAAGCATTCTTGAATCTTCATATCTTTTTGAACATTCACCTTCTCCTTAAATTGTCTTTGTCGTGTTTCAGACGCGGAACCGGTTCGAGAGCACTCGTTCAGAGGTGGAATGCTTGATGAAGAAGATGAAGGAAAACCCGGACGAACATAAGAGCATCAGTCCGAACACAATGGAGGGATACTTGTTTGTGCAAGAGAAACGTAAGTTGAAAAGTTTAGGGCTTTTCTCTGATTTCTAAGACACAACTGATCACACTGGCCACTGTAGAGGGTGTGTGATGATTTGTGTGTTTGTAAGTAAAATAATTTTTGAATGCATGTGAGCCATGTTTACCTGTCATCATGCAAAATGACTTCCCAGGGTATTTGGATTCCGTTTTCTTTGCTTGTCTTTTGGATCCAAATAAAATAATAAAATGTGTGTGTGTACCCACAATCCTAAATGGCAAGCCAACATTCAGAGAAGTCTCTGTTCACATGGACACAAAAATTGCGGCAAATCAGCTTGGTATCCCCACTACCATGAAGCATTGAGATTGACGTCGTTAAACATCATTATTCTCCCTGCATTCTCAAACGAATATTTAGCAGTACACCTAAACTGTAATGTATTTTATACTTATTACTGACTCTAAGTCAGTTATCTTATTTTCCTAGGCTATTGTTATTTTTATATGATTGCATTGCTTTACTATCCACAGTGCTTCATGTCTATGAAAATAAAGCATGTTCAGTTTTCACCAAACAGATAAATGTTACTGTGCCAACTGTGTATCATAGCAGTTCATAAATTAAAAGTCCTGTCTGCGGCGCTGAAAGGTTAATGCTCGATTGCCTTTAAAAGTAACATGCTCCCTTCACTAAATCCTACCCTGAACCAAACCGTTGGTGTTAAAGAAAGAAAGTTTTCTTTTTCTCATTTTACCATGTTTTTACACTGTTTTGAGCTTTTTTATCGAACCATGTTTCATGAGACTTATAGCTGAGTGCTACGCATTGCAAGTGCACTGGTGTACCAGGTGAGCTACCGAGCAAGTTTACTACAGCAGAAAATCCATACACAGAGAGCTGAATATGTGATGTCCATTAAAAAATTTATTGGTTTACAAATCATGCACTATGGTAAAGGTATTTTAAGGTGATAGCAAAGGGCTATGCAAAGAAATTGCAAATGAAAATGAGTCTTCATTACCTGATTTTTTTTGGCCCTATAATCATAATTTGTGTGAAAAGGAATATAAGTGTTTGGTGTTTTACTGCCACCAGTGTTCATGTTTTTTTTTTTTGTCTTCTTTTTCTTTTGTAAGTACATGTAAAGGCATGTTTTTGCAATGAGCCTGGGTTGGTATTTCATGGCTTTGAGTTCTTTACTGAAGATTTTTTGAAATCTCTATTAAGAAATGAATATATCCCTTTTATCCCAGAGGTGGTGAAAAAATGGGCAGCAACTGTTATGCTCTTGCACAGTATTGCGTTTCACTTCACTCTGTTCTTTTCCTTTCCATAAATGCTTCAAAGTTTTACATAACCAAAGCCTTCAAAGAGTTTACCATATCTCTCCTTCTCTATCACACACAAAACTTTAATTGCTTAAAATAGTGTTTCCCAACCCTGTTTCTGGAGGCACATGAACACTGAATTCTGTGATCCATTTACTGTTTATCTGTCTTTTTCTTACATGGCTCCCTGTTTTTTTTTTACTAAATCAGGTTCCTTCGTGTCCACATGGGTGAAGTACTACTGCATCTATCACCGAGAGCCCAAACGCATGACCATGATGCTGTTTGATCAGAAGTCTGGGGCCAAAAGTGTAAGTAGTTATTTTTTCTCTTTCTCTGTCACATACAGTCCCTCTCGCACCCTTTCACTCAGCAGTATGTGTAACCTTTGGATTGGAGAGTGGATACTGGCACAAGCCACGTGTCTGTTCCTCAATGCTGGCATTGACAAGACTCTGATCTTGGCACGAGAAGCTGCGTATCGCATCGTTGAGCTGTCACCAGTGTCGGCACCTGGCTCTGTGCCCGTCCCGCTCTGCACAGCCACACACGCAGGGTCAATAGCACGACTCTCGCACCAGGGACTGCATGCGACCTGATTACATTCCGACCAGACACTACTACCCCGTGCTAGACACACAAACCTGCTAATCGCAAGAGAGAAGCAAACAGAAAATGTGTTTTATTGTCATTAAAAAAAATAAAAATTGAATACAGAGTAATATTCTTTCGTGATTTGCATAGTTTATTTTATTGCTGACATGTTTACAAGGAAATGCACATTCTGTTGAAACAAAAATCCTTTAATATAATGTGGGTAAATTTCAGACAAAAATATATTTCGATTCTTGAGTTGGAATTTGAATAGTTTCACAGCAAAATGCAAAAGTGTGACGCTTCATTCACTGACGCGCTTCACTCAGCAGCTACTATAGAGTACTATAAAATTATTTATTTTTATTTAATACTCACTTATAAAATATAATAGTATTATTACACTTTATTTATTTTATTTAAAAAAATAACTAAAGTTCAATAAAACTATTATTAGTATTATTCATTATTATTTTTTTATAGTTATATTTAATTGGTCACACTATGTGCAGTATGAGCACCAAACCAAATCTCCAGGTGCTCTCATGAGAACCTGACTGAAAAACATATGTGCACCCCTGTATATATTTACATATTATATTTAGTGCTTAAAAAGAAATTTCATTCATCAAATTCGTCAGTTTTACATTTGAATTAGAATCCTGTTTTTTGTCCCAGTTTAATAAACATTAACAATAAACATTCTATACATCATATAAGTTTTCACATTTTTCATTTACTATTCTGTTTTGGTTTTCAACCCAATGTTTATGTATTGCATCTGTGACATGTCAGTTACAACAGTCATTTCAGCTCATCCTTCAGATAGTTAAAATGAACATGTTTACAGTAAATACAGAGTTCTGGCATGAAACTCTAGATGGCACAGTCCGATAGGTCTAACTCAATCTGACCTGGCGACATCATTGTCACATGGCAGCTGATTGGTTCCTTCATGTATCGGTAGCCAATGTGCTCGCTGCTCAATATTCAATATTGCCGTAGCAGTTTGCAGCGCACTTCAGAAACCCTCCACCTTCCCCAGCTCCACCTGTATAGATCTGCTACGAGGTGATTCATGTATGCTATATAGGGGTTATTCATATCTGTTATAAGTGCAGCAGCAGTATTTCTTACATGCTCACAGCAGCATGTTGTGGATGTATTGGCAGTAGCAAGTCTCGGTACTTGCTCTGCCGCAGCAGCAGCGTAACAGATCTATTCCGCCAAGACCAAATACATTAACATTGTCAAGTACATTACCATGCCAATCCCTCTGAGAGTTGTCATGACAGTAATAGACTTATAACGGAGGCTTAGCAGGCAAATTGGCTAGAGGGATTACAAGCAGGAATCACAAGCTCATATTTTTTAAGCACACTGTGTGGAAACCAGTTGTTAGATAACAAATTGACTGCCTGTCCACCAATCTTCAACATATTTGGCATGATATTATCATAAGTGAGTGATATAAACTGATGAGCCACAACATTAAAACCACTGACAGGTGAAGTGAATAACATTGGGTTACACTTTAGCTTGGGGACCAGTTCTCAGTATGAACTAACTATTATCTATGACATTTACCTCAATAAACTTCTAATTGCTGCTTACTAATAGTTAATAGTGATGCAAGGTACTTAGAGGGATAGTTCACCCAAAAATTCTGTCATTAATTACTCACCCTCATGTCGTTCCAAACCCGTAAGATCTTCGTTCATCTTTTAATCATCAAATTAAGATTTTTTTCAGCTGTTAGTCTTATCAATTACAACAGTAATAGGCTAGCACAGCTCTTCCCAACAAGCCACACAATTTCATAAGTCATGTTTGTAGCACAAATGATGTGGGATGTGTTATGCACCAAATTGTAATACTTCAGGTTAAGGGTTTGAATGCGAAGAGTTCAAATATTAACGCTTTTATCGCTGAAAATATGACCTTGTCCCAAAAAGTGAATTTTTTGTGTATATATATATATATGCAGTCTTGCAGACTTATTGTAGACTAAATGTGCTCACAGGGACCCTTGTTTCACCTCTCCAGGCATTACATTCTGTAAGCATACTCAGTTTGTTTAGTATCTAGTCCTTGCGCTAGCATTACGCTATCGCCTTTTCTGCAATGTGAAAAGAGAAGAAAAACTAGAGAGAAGTCACTTAGCAGAGTGGCGTGATAGAAACAATTAGACTGTAAGTGAGGAGGTCACTGAAGGAGAGAACGACAGCGCTCTGGTAAATGAACTCCAGAGGTATGTGTGTAATGTGTTGCTAGTCGGTAAAAGAGCTGTGAAGTGTTGGAATAAAAATAGCTGGCCGCATTTGAACACCCATTCCTTGGCCACACTTTGCAACAAGATAGGGAGTAACCTGACACTTTATCATTCATTTATATACTCATTTATGTGATGACAGTGTAGTTGGTAAATATAGAACATCTTGTCACATTTTCCTGTCGGCCGTCCAGGCTCACATAAAAGCCGAATAAGTGAAATGCTGAAAATGTGGTGCCAAAATTTGGGCCTATAGTAAACCATGTTTTACTTTTCAGGGAGATGAGGAAAGCTTTACGCTGAAATCTTGCACCAGAAGGAAAACAGACTCCATCGAGAAGAGGTTCTGTTTTGACATTGAAGCCGTGGACCGGTGAGTTGACTATGAGCATGCCTGCCACCAGATGGTGCTTTGGTCCACGTAACATCTAGTGGGAGACACTTCCTGGCTGCTGCTCAGGAAAGAGGGTGGAGATTTGGACTAGGTCTGCCAGGCATGAAGAGAGTGCACTGTAGATAGCTTCGACCTGTCAAAACTGTTGCAGTAACTAGGAAGAGAGAAATAAAGTGGCCATCTTATGGTTGTAGGCAGGGGAAGGGAACCGATTTCTTTACACTTAACATTTAAGCCAAAAGATGCTCTAAGCATTGATGACACAACAGTGTAATCAAAAATATATATATAAAAAATCAATATCCCGCATCCCAGCAAAACTGTGTCACATAATAAGATTTATTTCTAGAGTCAAGTCAAGTCAAGTCACCTTTATTTATATAGCGCTTTTAACAATACAGATTGTGTCAAAGCAACTGAACAGCATTGATTAGGAAAATAGTGTGTCAATGCAAAATGACAATAGTAAACACTAATTTTTTAGTTAAAGGCAGTTCATCATTGAATTCAGTGATGTCATCATCCAGCTCAGTTCAGTTTAAATAGTATCTTTGCAATCATTTGCAATCAAGTCAACGATATCGCTGGAAATGAAGTGTCCCCAACTAAGCAAGCCAGAGGCGACAGCGGCAAGGAACCAAAACTCCATCGGTGACAGAATGGAGAAAAAACCTTGGGAGAAACCAGGCTCAGTCGGGGGGCCAGTTCTCCTCTGGCCAGACGAAACCAGCAGTTCAATTTGAGGCTGCAGCAAAGTCACATTGTGCAGAGGACTCATCTGGTTCCTGTGGTCTTGTCCCGGTGGTCGTCTGAGACAAGCTCTTTACAGGGGATTTGTATCTGGGGGCATTGCAAGTGCACTGGTGTACCAGGTGAGCTACCGAGCAAGTTTACTACAGCAGAAAATCCATACACAGAGAGCTGAATATGTGATGTCCATTAAAAAATTTATTGGTTTACAAATCATGCACTATGGTAAAGGTATTTTAAGGTGATAGCAAAGTATTGTGCAAAGAAGTGGCATGAAAATAAGTCCTTGTTAATTGATTTTCTGGTAATCATAAATAAATAAAAAATGTTGGTGTTTTACTGCCTCCAGTGTTCAAAATTCAGCTGGAAACTGCACTGTGTTGAACATATAGTTACGTATTTGAAGTTTTGCACATGTACATGTCGAGGATTTGCGATGAACCTGTGTTGGTATTACATGGCTTTGAGCTTTTTACTGAAGATTTTTTGAAATCCCTATTAAGAAATGAATAAGAACCAAAGATTGTGAAAAAATGGACGGCAACTGTTATGCTCTTGCTCAGTATTAAATTTCACTTCACTCAGTTTTTGTTTTTTTCCTTTCCACAATTGCTTCAAAGTTTCACATAATCGAAGCCTTCAAAGCGTTTACCATATCTCTCCTTCTCTATCACACACAAAACTTTAATTGCTTAAAATAGTGTTTCCCAACCCTGTTTCTGGAGGCACATGAACACTGAATTCTGTGATCCATTTACTGTTTATCTGTCTTTTTCTTACATGGCTCCCTGTTTTTTTTTTACTAAATCAGGTTCCTTCGTGTCCACATGGGTGAAGTACTACTGCATCTATCACCGAGAGCCCAAACGCATGACCATGATGCTGTTTGATCAGAAGTCTGGGGCCAAAAGTGTAAGTAGTTATTTTTTCTCTTTCTCTGTCACATACAGTCCCTCTCGCACCCTTTCACTCAGCAGTATGTGTAACCTTTGGATTGGAGAGTGGATACTGGCACAAGCCACGTGTCTGTTCCTCAATGCTGGCATTGACAAGACTCTGATCTTGGCACGAGAAGCTGCGTATCGCATCGTTGAGCTGTCACCAGTGTCGGCACCTGGCTCTGTGCCCGTCCCGCTCTGCACAGCCACACACGCAGGGTCAATAGCACGACTCTCGCACCAGGGACTGCATGCGACCTGATTACATTCCGACCAGACACTACTACCCCGTGCTAGACACACAAACCTGCTAATCGCAAGAGAGAAGCAAACAGAAAATGTGTTTTATTGTCATTAAAAAAAATAAAAATTGAATACAGAGTAATATTCTTTCGTGATTTGCATAGTTTATTTTATTGCTGACATGTTTACAAGGAAATGCACATTCTGTTGAAACAAAAATCCTTTAATATAATGTGGGTAAATTTCAGACAAAAATATATTTCGATTCTTGAGTTGGAATTTGAATAGTTTCACAGCAAAATGCAAAAGTGTGACGCTTCATTCACTGACGCGCTTCACTCAGCAGCTACTATAGAGTACTATAAAATTATTTATTTTTATTTAATACTCACTTATAAAATATAATAGTATTATTACACTTTATTTATTTTATTTAAAAAAATAACTAAAGTTCAATAAAACTATTATTAGTATTATTCATTATTATTTTTTTATAGTTATATTTAATTGGTCACACTATGTGCAGTATGAGCACCAAACCAAATCTCCAGGTGCTCTCATGAGAACCTGACTGAAAAACATATGTGCACCCCTGTATATATTTACATATTATATTTAGTGCTTAAAAAGAAATTTCATTCATCAAATTCGTCAGTTTTACATTTGAATTAGAATCCTGTTTTTTGTCCCAGTTTAATAAACATTAACAATAAACATTCTATACATCATATAAGTTTTCACATTTTTCATTTACTATTCTGTTTTGGTTTTCAACCCAATGTTTATGTATTGCATCTGTGACATGTCAGTTACAACAGTCATTTCAGCTCATCCTTCAGATAGTTAAAATGAACATGTTTACAGTAAATACAGAGTTCTGGCATGAAACTCTAGATGGCACAGTCCGATAGGTCTAACTCAATCTGACCTGGCGACATCATTGTCACATGGCAGCTGATTGGTTCCTTCATGTATCGGTAGCCAATGTGCTCGCTGCTCAATATTCAATATTGCCGTAGCAGTTTGCAGCGCACTTCAGAAACCCTCCACCTTCCCCAGCTCCACCTGTATAGATCTGCTACGAGGTGATTCATGTATGCTATATAGGGGTTATTCATATCTGTTATAAGTGCAGCAGCAGTATTTCTTACATGCTCACAGCAGCATGTTGTGGATGTATTGGCAGTAGCAAGTCTCGGTACTTGCTCTGCCGCAGCAGCAGCGTAACAGATCTATTCCGCCAAGACCAAATACATTAACATTGTCAAGTACATTACCATGCCAATCCCTCTGAGAGTTGTCATGACAGTAATAGACTTATAACGGAGGCTTAGCAGGCAAATTGGCTAGAGGGATTACAAGCAGGAATCACAAGCTCATATTTTTTAAGCACACTGTGTGGAAACCAGTTGTTAGATAACAAATTGACTGCCTGTCCACCAATCTTCAACATATTTGGCATGATATTATCATAAGTGAGTGATATAAACTGATGAGCCACAACATTAAAACCACTGACAGGTGAAGTGAATAACATTGGGTTACACTTTAGCTTGGGGACCAGTTCTCAGTATGAACTAACTATTATCTATGACATTTACCTCAATAAACTTCTAATTGCTGCTTACTAATAGTTAATAGTGATGCAAGGTACTTAGAGGGATAGTTCACCCAAAAATTCTGTCATTAATTACTCACCCTCATGTCGTTCCAAACCCGTAAGATCTTCGTTCATCTTTTAATCATCAAATTAAGATTTTTTTCAGCTGTTAGTCTTATCAATTACAACAGTAATAGGCTAGCACAGCTCTTCCCAACAAGCCACACAATTTCATAAGTCATGTTTGTAGCACAAATGATGTGGGATGTGTTATGCACCAAATTGTAATACTTCAGGTTAAGGGTTTGAATGCGAAGAGTTCAAATATTAACGCTTTTATCGCTGAAAATATGACCTTGTCCCAAAAAGTGAATTTTTTGTGTATATATATATATATGCAGTCTTGCAGACTTATTGTAGACTAAATGTGCTCACAGGGACCCTTGTTTCACCTCTCCAGGCATTACATTCTGTAAGCATACTCAGTTTGTTTAGTATCTAGTCCTTGCGCTAGCATTACGCTATCGCCTTTTCTGCAATGTGAAAAGAGAAGAAAAACTAGAGAGAAGTCACTTAGCAGAGTGGCGTGATAGAAACAATTAGACTGTAAGTGAGGAGGTCACTGAAGGAGAGAACGACAGCGCTCTGGTAAATGAACTCCAGAGGTATGTGTGTAATGTGTTGCTAGTCGGTAAAAGAGCTGTGAAGTGTTGGAATAAAAATAGCTGGCCGCATTTGAACACCCATTCCTTGGCCACACTTTGCAACAAGATAGGGAGTAACCTGACACTTTATCATTCATTTATATACTCATTTATGTGATGACAGTGTAGTTGGTAAATATAGAACATCTTGTCACATTTTCCTGTCGGCCGTCCAGGCTCACATAAAAGCCGAATAAGTGAAATGCTGAAAATGTGGTGCCAAAATTTGGGCCTATAGTAAACCATGTTTTACTTTTCAGGGAGATGAGGAAAGCTTTACGCTGAAATCTTGCACCAGAAGGAAAACAGACTCCATCGAGAAGAGGTTCTGTTTTGACATTGAAGCCGTGGACCGGTGAGTTGACTATGAGCATGCCTGCCACCAGATGGTGCTTTGGTCCACGTAACATCTAGTGGGAGACACTTCCTGGCTGCTGCTCAGGAAAGAGGGTGGAGATTTGGACTAGGTCTGCCAGGCATGAAGAGAGTGCACTGTAGATAGCTTCGACCTGTCAAAACTGTTGCAGTAACTAGGAAGAGAGAAATAAAGTGGCCATCTTATGGTTGTAGGCAGGGGAAGGGAACCGATTTCTTTACACTTAACATTTAAGCCAAAAGATGCTCTAAGCATTGATGACACAACAGTGTAATCAAAAATATATATATAAAAAATCAATATCCCGCATCCCAGCAAAACTGTGTCACATAATAAGATTTATTTCTAGAGTCAAGTCAAGTCAAGTCACCTTTATTTATATAGCGCTTTTAACAATACAGATTGTGTCAAAGCAACTGAACAGCATTGATTAGGAAAATAGTGTGTCAATGCAAAATGACAATAGTAAACACTAATTTTTTAGTTAAAGGCAGTTCATCATTGAATTCAGTGATGTCATCATCCAGCTCAGTTCAGTTTAAATAGTATCTTTGCAATCATTTGCAATCAAGTCAACGATATCGCTGGAAATGAAGTGTCCCCAACTAAGCAAGCCAGAGGCGACAGCGGCAAGGAACCAAAACTCCATCGGTGACAGAATGGAGAAAAAACCTTGGGAGAAACCAGGCTCAGTCGGGGGGCCAGTTCTCCTCTGGCCAGACGAAACCAGCAGTTCAATTTCAGGCTGCAGCAAAGTCACATTGTGCAGAGGACTCATCTGGTTCCTGTGGTCTTGTCCCGGTGGTCGTCTGAGACAAGCTCTTTACAGGGGATTTGTATCTGGGGCTCATCTAGTTGTCCTGATCTCCGCTGTCTTTCAGGGCTGTAGAGAGAACATTATGTATTTTTTTCCCCCGTTCCCCACTAAGATTTGAATCTTAAGCATAAACTGTTTGAATTTGCAAGAATAATAATTTGAATCCAGGAAATACATTATCATCAAAAGTTTACCAAGGCTGCATTTATTTAAAAGTGAAATTGAAGACAATTGTAATATTACAAAAGGTTTCTATTTGAAATAAATGCTGTTCTTTTGAACTTTATTTTTGTCAAAGAATTCTGAAAAAAAAAGTATCACGGTTTTCACAAAAGTCTAGGAAATTATTTTGAAAAACAAAAACTTTTTTTAAGATTTATAATAAGAGCCAATATTAATAATTAAGCCAACGTAATGTTTGATAATAATTAAGCACCATATTAGAAACATTTCTGAAGAATGACACGAAAGACTTCAGTTTTGCCATCACGGAAATAAATGACATTTTGAAACGTATTAAAATAGAACTTTTATTTTAAATTAAACCAATTTGCCGTCATGAATATAAATTACATTTGAATACATATTAAAACAGAAAAAAAAAAAAGTTTAAATTTATGCAGTTTTAGTTCTTAAAAAAATCTATCTATCTATCTATCTATCTATCTATCTATCTAGCTATCTATCTATCTATCTATCTAGCTCTCTCTCTCTCTCTCTCTCTCTAAATATATATATAAATTGTACTGGAAAAAAGTTTTAATTTAAAAATGGGAGAAGTTTTAATTTTATTGGGGAAAAAACATGAAATCCTATTTTTATACACGATACAAAGCAAATTTGCATGTGGTTTGAAATCCTTTTAAAAATTCTTCTTAAAAATGTAGCCAGATTTTTAGAAAATATTTCTCCATATGAATGGTCAGATTCAGGTGTTTTAAGTGTATATGTCGCAACATTATATACAGTATAATGTTCAGCACGCTGTACATTATATATAGTGTTTTTACTTGAAAATATTTATACAGATATTTTTGAAAAGAACAATGACAAAAATAGTCATTAAGAATGGGGTAATGCTATGTAGTGTCTATAGACGTGTCCGAATGAACTCATTTTGCTTGGTATTGATGTGTCATAGTGACCTTGGAAAAATTCCTAGTTTTCCATCTTCTCTTTCCACACCAACAGCTACTCTCAAAAATACTCTTTTATAGTTGTGTGAACATTTAAATCATTACTATGGTAACCAATGTAGATATATACCAGATATTGATGACGTTATTTGAACAAATGGGTCATATTTCATGATTTGCAAAATTACAGTACAGACAGTCCGTCTTTTAACAGTCCAGTGCTTTAATACAGCTCTTATTTTACCAAGCAAAACCCTTTCTCTGCTTTAGCATAGAAGAGCCAGCAAGAGCCAGTTTACCGTGCCGTGTGTTGGAAAACCTCTTAATATTTCAGTATGGCAGCTCTATCAGTAAATCAGAAGCACACACTCACACACCATTATCTAGCGTGACAACTGAAGGTTAGGCCATGCCAGGTCAGGCAGAGTTAGGGTAATAGAACTGGGTCCGTTTAATTGAGTTTGTGGTCAGAAAACCCTGATGAATTTACAATGTGGTAGTGCAATGCTGGTGTGGGGGACGATGTCATTTTGTGTATCCAATGCTGTGTATGTGATGTCCTTTTTTTTATTGGCAAAGCCGACATATGGGAAGGTGTTTGGATAGTGTTTTTGTGAGTTTGCAATCAGAAAAGCTGGAGGCTATTGTAAAATTGAAGTGTGTTTTGTGTAAAATACATTTGTGAATAGTTAATGGGTGTTTGTTTACACTTGTGAAAAAGTACTTTATAGAATACTTTTAAAAAAGGGTACTTATTACAGAAATACTGTACTTCAAAAGAATGTACTTGGTAAAAATTAAATGCATTGTTTCTGAACACTTAATTGCATTTTACTTACAATTAAATGAAAATGTATTATGCAATTAGTTTAACTAAATTGCTTTTAAGTTTAGTTAAAATTATACTCGAGAACTTTAGATATGATTTAATATGTTCAACACATGCAAATAAGTTTACTTACTTTAAGATTATAAAATGTCTTTTAATTTGACAATATTACTTTTTTTAAAAATGTACTTAAGTGTGTAAAGAAACCATAAATCATAAAAATCATAAAAATGTACTCTTTAAGTGCACCTTCAGTGCAAGTGGCATTTTATTTCCTTATTATTATATTATTTGCAAGTACAGTTTTTTTCAAACTATACTTTTAAGATTTAAAGTACACAACAAGTGCATGTTGAATACAATTAAGCACAATTATTTTAAGACATTAAGAAAATGAATTTTCCTCAAACACACACGCTCACTAGTGTTTAAACTAACAGTGTCCTGTAAATATACATGCATCACAGGAGAATTGTGTGTGTGTGTGTGTGTGTGTGCATGTTGACTGTACCGCTGTGCATGCTTGCGTGTGGATGTGTGCATGTTTCAGGCCTGGCGTGATCACCATGCAGGCGCTGTCAGAGGAAGACCGCAGACTCTGGATGGAAGCCATGGACGGAAGAGAACCGGTACTTTATCTGAGACATCGGAAATTTGTTTCGCTCTTTAACATGATAGGGTTCATCTTAAAGGGATAGTTCTCCCAAAAATGAAAATTCTGTCATTAATTACTCACCCTCATGTCGTTCCAAACCCGTCCAAATCAGTTTTGCGAAGCTACGAGAATACATTTTGAGCGCAAAGTAAACAAAAATAACATAATTTATTCAACAATTCTTCTCCCCCGAGTTACGTCTTCCACCATCTTAGAGTATCACAACACATACGCACGCTTTCCATAACATGGCATCCAAGCATAAACAACGCTGATTACGCAGATTACGTTCATGCGCGCGTTTTCTCCGATGAACGTAAACAATGCTGATTACGTCGATTACGCTCTTGGGAACTCTCCAAAATGGCGGAAGACGTAACTCGGGGGTGAAGAATTGTTAAATAAATTATGTTATTTTTGTTTTCTTTCCGCTCAAAAAATATTCTCGTAGCTTCGCAAAACTGAAGTTGAGCCACTGATGTCACATGGACTGTTTTACCGATGTCCTTACTATGTTTCTGGACCTGGGAACATTACAGTTGCATTGCTGTCTATGCAGGGTCTGAGAGCTCTCACATTTCATCAAAAATATCTTAATTTGTGTTCCGAAGATGAACGAAGGTCTTACGGGTTTGGAACAACATGAGGGTGAGTAATTAATGACAGAATTTTCATTTTGGGGTGAACTAACCCTTTAAGAGTATTTCACATGCTTGGCACTCCTGTGCATCAGATAAAGTGCATTCTCATTTTGAATGCATATTCTTGAGACATATTGTGTCTCATAAATATGCATATTCGGGCCTTTAGCCATTTTTTTTTTTTTTATCTGAATTCAAAAGTAGTGGTGAGTGTTGGCTTCATAATTGAATCTGTAATGTATTGTAGGATGATTTAGGCTCTGTTCCATAATCTAGTGAGCTGCCTCACTAGAGTACTACATACATAGACCTTTAAGGGCAGCATGCTAATTGAATGGGACATTATCAGTTACTGATGAAACATTCTTTAGGCATCAGCTCAATTAGTGCTTATCACAAAAACACACAGGACGCTCAACAAACTGATTTCAATAGAGTTTGCTGTTAGAATGCTGCTAGGCCCTAATTAGCATGAAAATTCATAGAGCACACAAATATTTTGTTAAATAGTAAACTTTCTATTTATTTGAATATTTGTTATCAACGTTAACTGGCTTTGAATTAAATATCTAGTTCAGTCATGAAACTCTAAATGGTGCAGTTCTTCTGAAAACCTCCACCTCCCCCAGCTCCACCTGTCTAGATCTGCTACTGGATTTATGTATGCCTGTTCATGCAGCAGCAGCATATCTTACACACACACAGGAGCATGCTTAAAATGTTCTGAGGGTTGTCATGATTATAGATAGATATAGAATTATATCAATATATTCATAATCCACATTTGAGTCATCCACTATCTTAGATTTTTTTTCACTGAGGTTGTCGTGTATTTTGATATTGCCTTCTCACCAAAACTGCTGCCTATGTACTAGGCAGCTCACTAAGTTTTATAACAAAACCATGATGTCTTAGCATGCTAAATTACTCTTTTAGTGTGACAAAGCTTTTCAAAAGCATTTAGTGAACAGATTATGCATGTAAAATAGTGCAGATGAGGCAGTGGTATTGTGTGCTGTGATGGCTTCTCAGCTGGTACCATAAAATTGTACTTGTTATGTACATTTTTTTTTTCCGAAGCTGTTCTGTTTTAACAGCCATTTACTTGACCAAAATGTGTTGTCTCTCAGATATACACCCTGAATCGTGACAGCCAGAATGAAGCTAGTAAGTAGTGCTATTTCAGTCCTTTAAATTATATATATATAAAAAAAACATAATTCAGTTGAATCACAGAATCGTACACACTTATCATGCTGGTTTCATGTTGTTTATTACTGTTTGTTTTACCATGAAGTTGTATTGATGTTTTTTTTTCCCTCTCCTAATGAACTTTCTATCTAAGTGGCTCAATTAGATGTCATCGGCTTCAACGTTGTCAAAAAATTCATCTATGCCATAGAAACCAGAGGTACACCTCTTGTTGTTTTTCTGTTCAGAAATAGAGGTCTGATGGTGACCAGTACATGAGTAAGTGTGACAGTCTATGGTTTTCTCTAACAGGTATTGATGAACAGGGGCTATACAGGATCGTCGGTGTCAACTCCAGAGTGCAGAAACTACTCAGCCTGGCCATGGGTGAGAATCAGCACTCCGCTGCTGGTGGTCATTTTGTTTTAATGAAACCAGGAGATTAACATGAAAAAGAATTTCAGCCATAAATGTCACATATACAATTTCTCAGGCTTAAAACTGTTTTGAGTAACACAGTGTCTGTCCTGAGAGTGATAATTAGGCTAACTTAGAATATGTACACTTTTTTCACATTTCTTCTGAATTTATAGAAATATCGTAATGCACTGTACCAGTATTATGTTCTTGCTGTATACCGAATGCTTTATTGGAATAGCCAAAATCACAGTGCTAGAATTCACTCCTACAGTTGTCAGTTGCGTTGCTGTCTATGCAGGGTCAGAAAGGTCTCGGATTTCATCAAAAATATCTTAATTTGTGTTCCGAAGATGAACAAAGGTCTTACGGGTTTGGAAATACATGGGAGTGAGTAATTAATGACAGATTTTTCATTTTTGGGTGAACTATCCCTTTAATTGCAAACAACATGCAATTGTGTTTGAAAACATTACATTCAATTTCACACTTAATTATATTCTTTTAAAGTTGATTATTTCCATAATAAGAATTATTTTTAAACATACACTAAAATATGTTATTACTTTATTCATGATGGCTACACCACGTGTCATTAAATAAAACATTTTATTTGAAAATAATATAAAGGTTCTTCAAAACCATATAAAGCCAGCATGTATAGAAGAGAGTACATTTCTAAGAAATTGACACGTGTGTTAAAAAGGTTTTCCTTTTCTTTATCATGGATATTCTTATTTGTCATTGACCCTGGTAACTAGTTGTCACAGTGATCACTTGCATTTTTTCAAACAGCTTTGTTAATTGTAATGTGAGCGCTCTAGTTGTCACATTGTCACATTAATTATCACTGTAGACAGCTTTGTTGATTTATAATGGAATGTGTCTTGGTTTGTCGCATTACTCCCATGCAGTGTAGACAGATATATTGATTATTACGTGAGCGACCGAGTTTTTTCATGATGCAGTGCTCTCGTACAGACAGGTATGTTGATTACAATGCATTGAGCTTGCTTTTGGTCACTATGCCAAAATTCATGCATGCCCCTCCCATATTACAATATTTTTACTGCACTTTCGAAGCACATCTGCCTCAACTAATATCATACAGACTTATTTGAAGTATTAAAGGCCTATTTGTGTGTAAAACTTCACTTTGCAAGGAACCATTATTCTCAGCTGCTTAAGTACAAACGCAAACCTCTTCACGCAAAAAGTGACAGGAATGTCGTCACACCCTGCAGTGAAAGCAGAATGAATAGACTTTGATGTTGTTGTGTTACTCACCAGATCACCAGTATTTAACTGCCTGCCTCAGAGTGATAATGATATACTTTGACAGTTTTGCTTTAGGAAACGGTTTGCGATTTTGATGCTGATTGGCTGTTGCCAGCACACATATGCATAGTTTGCTTGCACATACTGGCACTGTGCTGAGTGGGTAATTCCAAAGGTTCAACAGAGGTCACCTGCAAACTAAATCTGCCGTCTAACCGTAATACTCTCCTCTAGACCCCAAAACCTGTGCAGATGTGGAGCTGGACAGCACAGAATGGGAGATCAAGACCATCACCAGTGCAATAAAGCATTACCTCAGGTACCAACCTGCCCCTTCACACATGACCACATGACAACAACCAGGCTATATTACACAAAATGTGTGTTAGCTGTCTTAATTTAACTGGCTCCTGCGGTCTCAAAAGTTCGCTTGACCGCTAAGGCATCAGTCCTACAATTGCTTATACTCAGGGCTGTTCACTTACCCTGTTGAAAAAACCAGCATATGCTGTTTTTTTCAACAGGGTAAGTATACCATGCAAAACACTCCGGCAACTACATACTGTAAGAACCCACAAAATAAACTCAGAACACTTGCATACTGAACAATTGAGTCCCCTAGCGCAAATGAGTCCAGTCGTGCTTGTAGGATAGACATTAATTGTGGTTTGTATGCTATCATTTCTCTGTTCTCTCTATGGTACAGCAGCTGATTTTATTAAATATGATTTACAATAAATATATTAATTAAAATTAATTTTATTGCATCACTTTTTTTATTATTTGCATGGTCTTAACAAATGATCAAAGATGATAGATTTAATAAACTAGAACGCTAACAAGCTAGCAGTATGCTAAGCTAGTAGGCCTATGCTGAGCATTTGAAGAATGAGAAATATTTAATGTCATATAACTTTGTTTTATTTACCAGTATAAGTAGTTACAAAGTTAAGACTTCATATATTGAGTGTGTCAAGTCGAGTTTCTTACCCACTTACAGTAAGTGGGCCTTAAGTACATCTGTATATGTAATTTCATAATTACTTAAGTGTTTGATATATGCTTAAAGTGCACTGTTAAATGCACCGACAAGCAATTATGATAAACTAAAATATGCTTTAATGTCACTTCTATTGAAACTTGTATGTATTTATAGTATTTTCAAAGTGCATTTAAAATATATTAATTTTAACTGTAATCAAATAACATTACAGTTGAAAGCATAATTATGTTGAATATGATTTAGTATGTTAGTTTAAACATTAAAATTGAGTATGTTTTTATTAAGGCATGACAAAAGATTATTGAGACGTAATGATTTATGTATAATGATAAGTAACATTTCAAGTACATAACAATGTACTTAAGTGTGTTAAGAAACATAGTCATGAAAGTGTACTTAAACACTTGCAAAAGTACACTTATCTGGACATTATTTCTTTAATATTATATTATCTGCAAGTTCATTTCTTTAACGGAGTTTACACTAAGTGCAAATAGCCCGCCTTGTTGGAAGAGGCTATTTACACTAACTCCTCCCACCAACGTGTGATTGGGCTAGTCAACACTACAAAAGACGGCTATCAAACATCAGCTCCAGTGGTGCAGATGGTAAAGCACGTGCCATAGTCATTTTTGACGCGAACAACCCGGGTTCGAACCATAGACTGTAAAAAAAGATGGACGACGCGTCTCCACTTCCTTCCACTATAGAAAAGTGAAGCCAAAGCATCTCAGTATGGCCGCTGCCATCTTGAGTAAATGACGTCATTTGGAGCCCGAGTCTGCGCAGTAGAGATTCGTTTGGAGCCCGAGTCTGCGCAGTAGAGATTCGTTTGGAGCCCGAATCTGTGCAGTAGAGATTCGTTTGGAGCCCGAGTCTGCGCAGTAGTGTTGTGAGGTGGAGCCGCGGTATCAAACTCCCGCCCAAACTCCCGCAGGCCCAATCAACTGTAACGACACGCAAACCAGCATTTTGCCGAACTTTTTTTCTCCCTTTTCAAATCTCATATCACATCGGAAAGGCATTTTATTTTCAATAAAAATGAAGGAAATAATTGAAAAGCTGAAAATAAACTATCGGGTAGGTAGGGAGGGTTTTATTGTCCCAATATGGTGGCATCCATTTAATAATTTGAATTAAAATTATAATTTACACTCAATACATTATTATTGCATACTGTTTTATAATGTGTACTACAATACTGAGATGCAGATAATTGCCATTATTTGCAACAAATAGTATAAATAACAGAAAATCCTGCTAACATAGTGTAAATAGAATCTATAGCTATTTGCTCTTAGTGTAAATAGCATATCGCAAAAACAAAACTATATTCACTTAGTGTAAATAGCCTCTATCGCTATTAACACTTAACACAGTGCAAATAGCTGCTGCCTTTTTAAAAAAATATACTTTTAAGATTTGAAGTACACTACAAGTGCACATTCAATACAATTAATAAGTGCACTTCTTTTTCACAAGGGAGAGCTTGGCAACCCATGTGTTCATGACACCAGCCTGGCGACCACCCACAACATGCTAGCACCTTGGCAGTTTGGCATTAGCAATTAGAAAATTATTAAAAAATATATATACAAATATAGTCAATCATGTTATAAACATGAGATATTGCAATTACCACTTACGTTTTTGTCGGAAAATATAAAAATACAGTCTAACACACAGTCTTGATTATTCATGTAATTCAACAACATTGCTAATAGTAATCTACAAATTAGTCTGCAGGTTTAAAAATAAAACCTCTCGGAAGTTAGCAAATAAGTAGTATACGACTTTAAAACGGTAAAGGAAGACATATAATCCTCATGCATCCAAATATTCTCAGTTCACTCTGTCTCGATGCCATGATATCTTCTGTTTTTGAGTCTGACTGTCGATTTCGGTCTGTTATCTAATCGCTAATCTCTTCTCTTCTTCTGTGCTATCAGGATGCTGCCGGCCCCTCTCATGACATACCAGTACCAGAGGAGCTTCATCAAAGCAGCCAGTGAGTGTCTGGTTGGACCGCTCTGGCCTTATTTCCCCTTCTCTGATCTATTTTGACTATTTGAAACTATTTGACTATAGTTCGACCATTTGATAAGACACAGTGCAGAGTAGGAGTGTTCAAGCTAATAGGACGCGGTCAGAAACAAGAAACAGGTGTAGAGGAAAGAAAATGGATTTACAATGTGGCGGCTTTCGTCTGAGACACCAAGGGATGTTGTTTCTTTTCCAGATCGTCTTTTGTACCATAAACTTTGATTTTCACACTGCAAAAAACTGACTTCAATTAGAAATTTCACAATTTAGATTTAAGCACAAACTTAATTAAATTTTATTAGATTTTTACTTAAAAAAAACTATTTGCTAAAATTATTTAAAATATTTAATTATTACAATTATTTCATAAATTATTAAAATGATTGAAACTTTTTTTTAACTAATTAGGAAGAAAAAATAATTACAGATATTAAATGCTAAAATAAATATTCTCTGAAAGGTAATTTTGCTGCTCAAGTTAATGTATCTTGTGTTAAGGATGTTTGGATACTTTTGTACATGAAAACAAGACTGATTACTAAGATGCTTTTTTTTGCATTGTATCTCATGCTATCTTCATCTTAACTCATTTGCTTTCTACCATCGTTCCCTTTTTTGTCTCTGTTTTTCTCTCTTTCTTTCTGTGCTTTTTTTTTGGCCAGTCCTTAAGGGTTACGTTAGGCCCTTGTCCTCATATGAACCTTTTTTTCTCAGAGAGCTCCACCCCTCCCTTTCTGCCTTTCATTTTCTCTCTTTTTTTCCACCCCTCCCCTAGTTCATTCCTGTCTATGTGAGCCATTTATGTGATAAAGAGCAAGGTGCCATCTGGAGTTTGCCCATGAGCAGAGAGAGAGAGAGATGGGAATACGGGAGTGAGAGACGATGTGAATGTGTATGTAACTGGAGGATAAGAGAAAATCAAAAAAGTGTGAAAATGTTTGTGTGCGCGGTCTAAAGGTTCAGTTTCTGTTCAACATGACCAAATGTCTAGTGTCTGGTCTGGTTATGTGCTGTCTTTTTTTGCAGTTCAATATTTGAACGCTTTGTATTATCAACAGATAATTTTCTTAATCTATATTTTGTGTATAAGATAATAAGACTTGTTTTCAGACAATATATTCTTGTGTTGAAGATATATATATTATATAATACACACATTTATAATTACATTTTATACCATGTTATATAAAAAAAACAAATTTGGGTTGTGGCATCTCCAATGAAGCAATGAAGTTGAGGCTACAAAAATATAATTATGCACACACTGCAAAAATGAATTTCTTACTTAGTATTTTTGTCTTGTTTTCTAGTGTAAAAATATAAACATTGTTGAATCAAGATGCATTTACTTGAGAAGCAAAATAAAGGTATTAAGTCTTGTTTCTTGAAAAAAAAAATGAAATTCTGTTCATTTTTGCTTAAAACAAGAAAAAATATCTGCCAATGGGGTAAGAAAAATAATCTAATAATCTTACTTCAAGAGCAAATCAAGAGTATTTTTCTTGCCCCATTGGCAGATATTTTTTTCTTTTTTTAAGCAAAAAAAATAAAAAGTAAAATTTTTGGAACAGAAGACTAAATATCTTAAGTCATTTTGCTTCTTAAGTAAATGTTAAATGTTGCTGTGTTGTTAAGTTAAATTGTTAAGTTAAATCTTGATTTAAAATTTTTTGAATATTTACACTAGAAAACCAGAAAATATTTTTTTGCAGTGCAATTTTTTAATTGTATTTAATTTAATTTAATTTAATTTTTTGTCCCTTGTCATGTCTAAACAACCTCATTTATACCTCTCGTCTCTCGCTGTACTCTTGATACTGGGGATTATTAGGATATCATGGCAGCCAGATAGATCACTCTAATATTTCAGTGACCTTTAAGAGCCGCATCTGGCGGCTTAGCTTTGCCCTTAATGGACACTGCTGTAGCCGTCACTTACACTAGGTGACACTGTGCTTTTACAACAAGGCAGACACAAACACGTGAGCATTAATGTCAGTTTAATTGGAATAATGTGTCTGTGTGGGTCCAGACTGTGTCAGGAAGTGACCTCACAGAATCAGGAATGGGATCTTTTGTTCTGTTTAACTACATCAGCAACACATGCAACGCTTCAGACATGAAATGTGTCCGTGAACGCTAAAATGTACTTAAAAATTTACACAGTGAGACTGGACTCCCATTCCTGCTGCGAATGCACTTGAGTCAAACACAGCAGTAAAACGCCTACAGTTCATGCGGAGCAAAAGGAAATGTGCTTTTCCTTTGCAACCGCTTATTCTCTCGCTTCCTCTTTCTCTGTCTTCCTAGAACTGGACAATCCCGAGGCGAGAGTGGCAGAGATCCACTCCATAGTGCACCGTCTCCCGGAGAAGAACCGCCAGATGCTGGAGCTTCTTATGAAACACTTGGCCAAGTAAGTTTTGGTGTTGACGCCCCCTTTTTACTGTGATACAAATCCAGCAAAGACCTAAGAGGATTTCCACTGTAAAAACCACAACCCTGCTGATGGTAATAAAGGCCTTAACTTCCCCTTTGTGTTTGCCCAGCTGAAAAGAGTGGCTTGTTTTCCTTCACCTGTCCTTTCTTCCATCTCTCGTTCCTAGCTCCATTTTCTTTTGTGCGAGTTTAATTTGACACCCTGACGGCCGAGCTCTGCGGAGCCGTTCCTCAGTGACGCTGGCAGATCGAGGAGTATTTTGGAGTTTTACGGAAAACTCCAGAGTGAAAATGCTTTACGCAAAGCAGCTTGATGCAAAAGATCAGATTCATAATCCAAAAGAATTACAGGAAGTAGAAGTTTAACATCCACTTTGCATGCGGATTTAATGCCTCACTTTGCTGTATGCCCTCAGGACAAGTTTGGAAATGATGTTGTAGTGTGGAATGACTAGTTTCATCTGACAGTAGCAGTGAAAAACAAGGTTCAAAGGGAATCGTTTAATATTGACAGTATGCTGCTTAGAAGAAATAATTGTAAAGGTTTTACCTTGGGTTCTGTTGACACTGAATCATCATTTACAGCAGGACTGTTTAGCTTGCTCATCAAATTCACAAACATTACAGCTGTTTGATACTGATTTGAGGTTAATTTGCCACAATCAGTATAAAAACAAATGTTCATATTACCTATTGAAATAATATAAAATGTACTAATACTTGTGTAACTGCAAGAGTAGTTTAATATCTGACCAGACGACAGTCTGTAAAGTTTGCAGGTTCAAAACCCTAAAAAGCTACACCATTAAAGTCCACATGAAATCACTTGATGAACAGAATGATACTTCCTGTGTTGACATATTTCCTTATGAGACAGGAAGTTGAAGTGGGGGCGTATCACATGCCTTGTCCTTTTTTTTTAATTAGACAGTATGCTTTAGTTTAAAACCTGTTGTTTTGAACTGTTTTTATGTACTGTAACAGTTTATTGAAACTTTTGACAATCTTTTTTTTTTCATATTTGATATATCAAGCTTTTATGGCTCATGATATTGGAGAATTGTTTGAAGATATTTATATGCCCATAAAGTAAGATACAATTCTGATATCTTGTAATGTAAATCAATGAGATCTTTATAACAGTATAGCAGACAACTTATATCAAATGCATAGAAAAAACAGTTGTCACTCTATATCTCCCAATAATATGTCTTATTAAGATGATACTTAAATGCTTTGTTTCATGATCAAAGCTCTGTAGTTTTAACATAATGCAATGCAGTTCAATGACTGAAAAATGTACAAGTATTCATTTCTCAAAAGCCTGATGTATCGTATTCAAAACTCGCATTGTAATGTGATTTTTCAAAAAAAAAAAAATTTTTTCAGCCCAGTTAGTATTCGTCTTGAAATATTACTAAGAATAGCCAATAATTAAGATTTTACAGCAAAAAGACCCATGTAGTAGGGTTGTGACGGTGAGGAAATTTTCCCACCGGTTAATCGACGTGTGACAACACGGATAATACCGGTATCACCGTGGGGGCAGGGGCGTTCCCTCTTTTCCTCGCTTTCCTTCGCTTTTAAATAGCTTCCTCGTTTTCCTTCGCTTTTAAATAGCTTGTAAAAGCACCGTGCGCATTTTACTTTCACTTTCGATTTAGCGGCAATTCTGCGTCAATTGCTTGAATGCAACAACAAAATAAAACGTCAAACTCACTTTAGCCTATATATAAAACATAGAACTTTTATTAACAAAACGAATAAAAGTACACCATGCTATAGGGCAGGCTATGCCTAATATAAAATAACAAATAACTTACATAAAGTTTAAATAGGTATACAAAACTGGAAAAAAGAAACGTAGAACGTTTATTAGCAAAACGAATAAGAAAGCTTTGGAGGCACGGCATACACCTTGATGACAAATAAAATAAATAAATTGCACAAAGTTTAAATAAACTAATAATCAGCTAACACTGTGGAACCAATTAAATAAAAAACGAATGTTTAAAAAAACTTCCAAAATCATCTTAGATAAACGGCAGAAGTCAACAGGCTTTTCAAAATCCAAAATACTGCCAAACAGGCGCTTTTGCATTTCGTTTCGAAACTAAGTCATGCGCCATCGTCTTGTCTGTCTCACCTCCCTCTTCTTGTCAGTCAGCTCGACTCACTCTCCTCACTGGATAAATGAAATCTGATCTGAGATGTGACTGCCGTTCGACACGCTGCATTGAGCATCCACGTTCATTTTTTAATTGTAGTGTCTGTTCTTTTACTGAACTATGATTTTTATTACTATAAAAAATCAAAACGACGGTGGGGGTCGGTGACGCGGTGGACAACGGTGTTGCGGCTTAACAACGGTATCACCGTCAGCACCATCTATCGCGGCAAGCCTACCATGTACCACAACCTGAAGACGGATATTTTTAGATTGATACTAAAAGCCTTTACTTGCTAAGTATAAACTTTCAATCAGTCAACAGAAGGCATTACGTAGAAGTACAACAGGTTTTTCAGCAAATTTTCTTCAAGTAATTTGGAAGCCTTAGATATTTGTGTATCAAGTATGATACAGTAGGCTTTATAGGGTTCAGTGATGTCTTCGATCATCAGTGATCTTCTATGTCAGTTTGTGTGTCTGTGTGTGTTTTAGGATTTCAAGTATGGTAAATTTACTAAATACATTTTATATTTATTTAGTCATTTACATTTATATTATATTATTTATATATCATATTTATATAACCCACTTTATATTAGGTGGCCTTAACTACTATGTACTTACATCAAAAAAGTACAATGTACTTATTGTGTTCGTATTGTATTGCAAAACACTTTTGCTGCTACTGAGGTGGGATACAGGTAAAGTCAGGGACAGGTTTAGTGGTATGGGTAGGTTTAAGGGTGGGTTAAGGTGTAAGGGATGGGTCAACAGTGTAATTATAAATGTAATTACAGAAATTAGTTGCAGATGTAATTACATGCAGGTATTTAAAAAATATATATAAGTATGAAGTAAAGACATGTATGTACACAATAAGTGCATTGTATGAACTGATTAATTTAAATGTAAGTACATACAGTAGTAGTTAAGGCCACCTAATATAGAGTGGAACCTAAGAATGCATAATATTTTACAGCAAATTTAACAAAGAACATTTCCATTATTTTTTGTTGATTTTATTGATTAGTTATTACAGTCCTATTTTTGTTATCAATAAAGCTAACTATACAGAAAAGCACTACACTACAATAAGAAGTAAATGATTTCAGATGTTTTACTCTCTCATCAGAGTGGCCAGTCACCACCAGCAAAATTTGATGACGGTTGCTAACCTCGGCGTAGTGTTCGGCCCTACGCTGCTGAGGCCTCAGGAAGAGACTGTCGCTGCAATCATGGACATCAAGTTCCAGAACATTGTGGTAGAAATCCTGATCGAGAACCACGAACGGGTATGTTTATGAATGACTACTAGCTGACCAGGGGTGCGTTTCCCAAAATAACTATGGTCGTTAGTTCCATTTAACTCTATTGGTAACGACGAAATTTGCGAGTTAATGAGTTAAATGGCTCATTAGGTTGTTTTTGTCAGTTGGTTACTTATTTTTTAAGTGTACGAGCTGTGTTGCTCGCACCTAGGTGTGAATGAAGGATGTAATTGCTCTATTAAAGGGGGCTTTATCCAGCAGCGAGACCCTTTCGGAGGGACTCACTCAGGCCGTATTTGCTGTAAAAGGTAACTTCAAACCCGGCAGGGGCTTAAAGGGTAAAGCAGATGAGAGTAGTTGCCATGGCAACATGCAAATCGGCTGAAGGCTGATTTCTTAAGATGAGCCCCCCGTCACAAGACATAGGGTCACTTCCTCCTGCATGAAGAGGTGAAGTGGGTGGGTTTCAAGATCAAGACTGTCACTATGACCTGTACAATTAACCTTCCCATGTCTCATCCCCTTAAAGACACGGCACACACATATGTTCCACTTTGAATGAGGTTAGCCTGTAATGAATCTTTCAGCTTCAGCTCAAAAGCATGGATGGCTACCTATCCCATATCTCTCAACAAACACACACAGCTATGTACAACAGGAAACAAAACTTAGACTGACTGTAACATAAACCTGATCCTCCAAAAGCTTTTCATTCACAAACACACAATAGGCTGTTTGCATACAGCTTTGCATAAAGACTTGTGACCTCCATAAATTCATTTTCACAAGTTTTTTCTTTCTTTCTCAGCATTCTTAAGGAATAATTCAGGTTTTTTTTTAGCATCTTTTACTCAACCTCATGTTGTTCCAAACATGTATGATCCATAAATGTGAGATTGTACGTATATAATAGCAGATAGTGCCCAAACTGCTCTTATTCCTTGTAAGCTCCATTAAAACGTCAACTGTAAACTGTAAACGTCAAACTCTAAATGAATGTTATTGATATTTTTGCAAATTCATAGGTGCATAAGTTCACCTCTTTTTTATTAATTAATTAAAATTTTTTTTTTGGACCTCATAATCCTTAACTCTTTCGCTACCATTGTTGTTTTCACTGTTATATGGTAGGGGGCGCTATTACACATTTAACCATTTACATTACTAGGGCCTAGTACATTACTAATACTAGGGCTGCCCCCTAATAGTCGACTAATCGTTAGTCGACTAGAAGAGGCTTGGTTGACTAAAATTGTATAAGTCGCTTAATCGCAGAAAAAAAATAAAAGAAAAAAAATCCACAGGCGAAGTCACGCAGTCCATGATGGACAGATCGTTAACGGCTAGTCTATGGTAATACAGTACATCGGGCAGGACGTCCAAACGCTCCAAACGCATTCATAATCATTACTTCTGCCGGTGCGCTGTGGCAAGCCTTATGCATGTGCTTGAGCGCTTATTAGGCTATGTAGGCAATTAAAGGCTCATTATAATGATTTAAATAGTTTATTAATAAACCTGCAATTAGTCGACTAATGCTTAAAATGAACGACTACTAGTTGACTAGAAAAATCCTTAGTCGAGGGCAGCCTTAGTTAAAGGGGTGGTTGACTGTTTTTTTATAGGCTTGATTGTGTTTATGGGGTGCAGTCTAACATGTGTTAATGCTTCGTAAAAAAAAAAACGCATTATTTTTCACATAATTTACCTTTATTCCACACAGCTCTGTCCCTTCTCTGAAAAACGGGCTGATCTTTTCCTGTTTTTATGAAACCCCGCCCTCAGAAATACACAATGGGCTCTGATTGATTAGCTGGCCCAGTGTGTTGTGACTGGCTAAACCGCCTCTAGCGCACGTCTAAGATACATTTACAAGATAAGATACTTTTAGATACACTGTTATTTGTAAATGCTACTGCTTATGTTAGCTTTTAATATACGGTTTTATTCTGATTAAAGCTTTAATACAGTTCGGCAACCGCACGCGCATCCATGTATAACGCTTCTCATAGCTATAGTATGTGAAAATAAGTGTATTCACTGAGCTGATGATCTGAATGAGAGAGAGATGCAGAGCAGAGCGTGTGCAGAGCAGGGCGACGCGAAGAACAGGATTGAGCACCGCTGCTTTAGAACATTGATTTTGAAACTTGTGAATCCATTAGAATCGTTAGAAGACAGAATCGCGATTCATATATGAATAGATTTTTAC